AGAGAGAGAGAGAGAGAGAGAGAGAGAGAGAGAGTTCTGTATGAATGGGTAAATTAGGGCACAGTTAGTAGTGTAAAGCACTTTGAGTATCTTAAGATAGAAAAGCGCTATATAAGTGCCGTCCATTTACCATTATCCTAAAATACATAAATTATGGGTAGTTAAGGCTGTTGGTGTCAGTTAATTCTTATTCACTGACTTTTATCCATGTTTGTACACGGTAATCACCAAAAATTGGGGTCTTAAGTCTCTGTTGTTGTTTATTGGACAGCAACTCAAACCTCAGGATAAATTAATTAACACATATATTGTACTGGAGGTTTCTGCCACAGGTTATTAAACATTTTTTGTATTTATTTTATCTTAATACAACTTGGTAGTTTTTGCACAGCAACAGCTCGAGGCTCAATTTCTTGTCAATGTTTGTGTCTGCCTGTCTTATAAAAAAAAGGGTTGCCTTTCTCCTCCCTTTGGAACAAGCGGGAATCACCTTGGCAACCAATGACTCAGCAGATTCTGGATCTCTGTCTTCTATGTATAATTCCATCATGGCTGCTCCCAATAAATCCTGTTTAATTTGAGCAGTTTTGTCATGACTGAAACATTTAGATTAAAATAAATAAAATAAAAACCTCTGCTGAGATTTAAAAGGAGAAAAAAAGAGGTTTTAATTTGGATTTTCAAACAAAATTTGTTGGACACTTTTGAAAATTAACCTCTGGTTTTGTTGTAGCCTTCAGTTATTATGAAAATAAGTCTCAAATTACAAAAACAGTAGACATTTTTTACAAATATTATCACATGTTTAAATAATATTTTTTGTATTAATATAAAAAAATGTGTTTCTACTGATGAGATGCGTACATCAAGACCTAAACGCACATCTTTGTCGCTAAATTGAAGACTACAAAGTCACATAAATATGCCATATTAATACATAAATGTGCAGGCTAACCTGTGTGTGTTTGGTTTCTTTGTGTCTCTTTGCAGACTATCGGCCCTAAGGAGGGCTGGCAGGTGTACAGCTCGGCTCAGGATGCTGACGGCCGCTGCATCTGCACCGTGGTGGCACCGGAGCAGAACCTGTGCTCCAGAGACGCAAAAAGCAGGCAGCTCCAACAACTGCTGGAAAAGGTGAGCAGATGGAAAGAGTTATATAGATTTCCCTTTGCAGTGCAGAACGCACAAACAGGAGCCAAGTCTCCAAACTTCATTCGTTCAGGTATTTTATTTTAGTCATTACTTGTTTAATTGGCTGTGTGTGTGTGTTTCTGTATCATCTGATTCTGTTCTGCAACTTGCTCCCTGTTTTATTTTGTTAAAATGGTTCGTTAAAGTGGTTCCTTTTGGTGGGAAAGCTGAGATTTTCTTTAGAACACGACACGACATTATGGAGTTCTAGAATTGCGCCGCTTGGGGTGGCTGCATGTTGGAGCAGCTCTGTTACTTTCATTCTGAGATTTTGTTTTTAGAAACTTTAATTCCTCTTTTGTTGGATATAAGTCACATTTGTTTGGATGATTGGTTCCTATGTTATCGGATGCTGTGCAGCTGGAAGGATTTTTACTGAAACGTTTTTAATTTTAGACATTTGTTATGATGCATAACCGTAACAACAAGGTGCTTTTTTGTTACAACCGGTAGCAGCTGATTAACATCTCAAAAGCTCAAATAATATCTCAAATACAGCCTCAAATTTCAAATGAGTTGAAAAGGAGGCGCCGTAGATGCATTCCCTTCTACCTGCTGGTTGTGCTCGAGTGCCTGACCACTGAAATCCTGGAACTATCAGGAAACACGGCTCGTGACAGCAGAAGGACAGGATCATTCCCTGACACCTTCAGCTGGCTGTCCGCAGTGATGAGGAGCTCGGCAGACTGCTGGGAGGAGCGGCCATCACTTTGGGAGGAGTTCTTCCTGACATTTGGGCGGTCCTGCAGCCCGGGTGGACAGATCGGACAGCATCTGCGGCCAGTTTCTTCAGATCCATTGTGGGGCGGTCCTTTACAAGAGATCCTTCCTGCCTCCAGCCATCAGCATCTATAACAGCTCCAAACGAAACGAGGATAACGAGTTACAACATTTAATTTCCCTTTGGGGTTAATAAAGTATTTTGAATTGAACTGAATTGAATTGAATTAAATGACTGTTTTGGGGGCGGGAATTGAATCTCAAAGGTGAAAACCCAGTTGTTTTTATAACAAGATGGCTATACTGCAGTATTTCTTTTTACAAATATTGAGGAAATGTTAGTAGCTGACAGTCATCCCAAACACATTCTCAGAGCACTAACTGCGTGTGTGAGTTTTAGTTTTAAAACTCATAACTGTTGGAGTCATTCAACATTATAGCTCAGGATCCACTCAATGGATTTTAATGAGACCTGCAGAAAACAATTATCTATGACTGCTTAAGGAGTCAACCCAATTCAAAATGGCCACCACTTTACCTTGACCTTGGCTAAATCCAATTATGTACGTGTCTTCAACATCCTCAACAGACAATACGGACAAACACATCATCTTCCATTCACCCCAGGAATCCATGATATATCCAGCTGTGTGTCCCTTCAGGGCATGAGGGTTCTCCTGCACCCCGTCTTCTCATCGAGAACATTTTATCGATTGTGTTGAGAGACCAGCTGACCAGATCCATAATTTATGATTCGGAAGATGTGTAAAGAGAGGCTCTGAGAAATATTCACAGGATAAGAGCAAAAACAGGAGGGAGGCAGGAGAGGGAAAAGAAAGTGTCCGTCTTCGTCAAGAGCAAGTCTGAAAAAAAATCATCGCATCTGTTGCACGCTGTGCCGTCAATTTAATTTGTTTTTACCAATTATGGCTAGCTTCTCCAAATATGAAAGGTGTTTTTTTTTTTTTTAACTAAGTGGTTTAGCTTAAAAAATGACCAAAAATATCCACGTTAACTTATTAGTCATGGTGATTATAGTCGAAATGATTCATTAGAACAAACAAAATGTTGATCAAGCTTCCAGAAACATAAAATGAACACCCCTGATGGTTGTAGAGAGGCTCGGTCTGTGTCTGAAGCCATGGTTGATCCTGCTCTGTGATCGTATTTAAGGTGCAGAACATGTCTCAGTCCATCGAGGTGCTGAACCTGCGGACCCAGAGGGATTTTCAATATGTCATGAAGATGGAGAACCAGATGAAAGGCCTGAGGACCAAGTTCAGGCAGATTGAAGACGACAGAAAATCCACCATGGCCAAAAATTTTCAGGTAATCACAAATAAATCCTTGCATTGCATTTTTCTATTAAGACAAGCAAAACTGATTTTTGTAATTGTTTACATTGCAAAGACATTCTGAGCAGAGGAGTTCTAGAGTTGGAAATGAAAGAGTTCTAGTTTTTAAAAGTACATTTTGACCTTCACCGTTTTAAAACGATTCAAACCTAACCTCAAATATTAAAAAATACACAACAGATCCCACTGTGACATTATACATATATTTAACAAAAACTGAACCAGCATGTTCAAATCTGGGTCCATCCCCTGATCCAGTAGCTTGTAGAACCTCCTTTAGTAGCAGTACCTCTCACCAGTTTTCTTGTTGTCTCACATGGCTGTGGAGGGATTTTGGCCCACTCTTCTTTCCAGCATCGCTTCAGATCATTGAGGTTTCTGCTCAGCAGGTACCACCGCAGCATTTCAGTCAAGTTGAGGTTCTGAACTCTGACTTGACCATTGCAGCACCTTGGTTCTTTTCTTCTTGACCCTTTCTGTTGTAGATTAGGGGTTTGGAATCATTGTCCTGTTCTTGGACCCAATTTGGCCTAGTCTTCAACTGTTGGATAGCTGCAACTTCAGATTTTGTTGCAAGGTGTTCCAGATTACAAGATCAGAGCAAGAGTTTTTTTGTTGTTTTTTTGTTTGCCAAGTTCAGTCCACACTAAGAGAATGTTGCAGATAATGAAGGACTGGGAGCAGCGCTGTAACTGCACTGAGAGATGGAGATACTGTATATGATGGGAGCAGACAGAGTGGTGATTTATAGATGAAGATGTACCGGTGCAAGAGCCTTCATGTAGATAATGATGACCAGCTGACCAATGAGTACAGAGTGCAGTGATGGGTGTGGTTTTTATAACCAGTTATGAACCTCAGAGTGCCATGTTGGACTGCATCCAACATCTGCAAAGAGCTGCCAGAGGCACTCTTATAAACAATGTCACCATAATCAATAACTGGTAAGAGAAAGGAAGCTACCAGCCATTTCCTTTCATTTCCAGGGATTTTATTCAAACTTAAACAAGATCTGGTCCTGAAATAGAGTCCTAGTTTCAAATTCAGTCTCTTCAAATGGTTTTCAGTGTGGGGCTTAAAAGAGAGATTTGCATCAATTCAAATTCCCACGTTTTATGAGTCCACAGGCTCAATAGGAACACCATGAATGGATGTGATCAATGGAAGAACTGCTGGCACCAACTTTCTGCTTGGTGGAAAAGTGTCTCCTTGGTTTTATCAACATTTAGCGTCAGTTTTCATTCATTCGACCTTTATTTAACAAATCTTGGTCTACAGGTGAGTTCATGGTCGACTCAGTGACTGCAAGGTGCCCAAACCACTAACCCATTACCACCTTTTTTGACAGCTGGTGTCAGAGGTTTTCTGCTGGGTGTGTTAATCCATACCTGTATGCTCCAGAGCAGCAACAATTCCTGCTTTTCTCGAGGTAGTCCCACCCATGATGATCTGTTAATCAGCATCTCCTAGCTGATCCTGAACCTTAGAGATCTTGAGGAAACTACGAGACCAGTTTGTCACATGTCCACTGACTGTTTTTTTTTGTTGTTTTGTTTTTGTTTTTTTTTCGATGTAGTCCCAATCCCATGATTCACAGTGGGAGTGGGAGCCTTACACCTCAGGTGTTTTTGAAAATGACAACACAGTGTAAAACATCTTCAAACAAGGATTTGGAGTCACGGCTATTGTTCTTTTTATGCGTATTTTTGTCTGAAATTAAAACTTACCATCTTGGTAAAGTAGGCAGAGATTAGCTTCATCATTGTTCCCACGTTTACTGAATTAAAAAAAGTATGTGGAATCAATATAAAGTCGTACATCTTTTGTGCAATAATTTGTGGGAAGCTATAGACAACCCTCAGCATCCTCTTCATCAGACTGTCATACAAATAAAGTGTCTTCAGTCAGAGGCTTCTTCAAATCCGTTGTAGGACAGACCGCTACAAGAGATCCTTCCTGCCCACAGCCATCAGCATCTAGAACAACTCATTAATGAAACCAGGATGATGAGTTACCGCAACATATAATTTCCCTCTGGGATTAAAAAAATATTTTTGAATTGAATTTGAATTGAATTGAATTTCCAGACCACAAATAAGGAAACATTAACATAATGTTGGTGGTTAATGATTTGCCCTTCTGTCAGATGTTTTCTGTGTAGTTTTGGTCTGCCTGACTGGATCTAGAATCTGAATTCTTCACCGCTGTCCATCTCTGTTCTTTTTTTTCTGTTTCTGCTGTTGTTGTTGCCGTCATCTCTGCAGGAGCTTAATGAGAAGATGGACGAGCTGAAGCCATTGATCCCTGTGCTGGAACAGTACAAGATGGATGCTGCGCTCATCTCCCAGTTCAAGGAGGAGATCAGGAACCTGTCTGTGGTGCTGACGGGCATCCAGGAGGAGCTTGGTGTCTATGACTATGACGAGCTTTATCAGCGAGTCCTGCGACTGGACAACAGGCTCCGCAGCTGCATGGGGAAACTGAGTGAGTCGTTTTACTGTGTTAAATTAAATTACAGTTTTAAAATCCCAAGGGAATCCATAAACACTCTCTGATAAGAAAAGTTAGGCACTTAGAATAGAGAATTTGGATGTGTGTATTTGGATGGTCCACATGCAGACCAGTAATGGGTGTGATTTGGTTTGCAAGAAACCCCACCCCTAGAACAGGCACCAAAGGACAGAACTGTGTCCTCAGCCAGTCAAAGATGCTTCGTAGATGCATTACTAGCACTCGATGGGGTTGAACAAGGGTTCATTAGGTTTGTTTGAGGACAGGATGTCATACTGTGTAATGGCCAGGTGTATGGGGCATACAGAAGTCACAGTAAATGGATTGTATTTATATAGCACCTTTCTATCTTATCCAAATACTCAGTGTGCTTCACACTAGAATCTGTACCCTCATTTACCCATTCATAGCACTCTACTATATGTATAAAAAGAATAATCAGTGGTTTATCACATTCATACACCAATGGGACACACATCGAAGGCAATGAGGGGTAGTGGAGTTGAACCCCCAACTCTCCCATTGGAGGCCAACTGCTCTAACCACTCATCCACAGCTGCCACAAGTAACTTGATTTTGGAACCATGATGACATCCACACACACCACAAAGATTACCAACGAAAGACCACATCATTCCCATGATATTGACATGCATTTGACTCTTGACCTCTTGTCTCATTTGATACATGTCTCGATGACTAGATAGACTATGGACTTTGAGGTCACTATTCAGACTGCAAACCTGTTTGTAACACCAGAGCAGAGACGGGTGAGTTTGGAGTTGAACTGTAACCAGAACATATGACCTGATGACAAGTGGCGTTGTATCATGCTCTGCAGTAAATCTTAGTTCTGGATTATCATGGAGGACCTTTTTCGGGTCCTTGGAGGCATCATAGGAGGAGGACCAACCATGTTAATGTTGTGGAGAGTCAGGTGACTCCTGGTGGGGACAATGAAGTAGGGTATATTCACTGGGCCATGATGGCACAGTACTATGCCAGTGTCTTAACCCTCTTGAGACAGCACTCTGAACAGTTTTTTTTTTTAACAACACCTGTCCACACGTCATGTTGAGGTCCTCCAGTGGCCCACCAGGTCCTGAGAACCAAAGAGACTTAGTCTGTCATTAAACAGTTGATAGTTCTGCATCAAATCTCTTCTTGAGTTCTGACTCGAGAGGGTCTAACCATGTTATAATGGGATCAGCAGTTCATTTCTGCTTCTCTGTCTGGGTGCTGAACTTTTTAAAGGCGAGTGTTTTATAAAACTAGCGTTTTCTGAAGTCACCATGAAAAATAGCTCCGATTTTGTACTAATGCCTGAAGAATTGCTAGCATGAGAAATATTGCAAGAAGTTAAAAACTGCCACAAACCTCCCCTTCCCTCATTTAGTATCACAAGGTACCAGAGAGGAAAATAACCGTAGGGGATACATAAATAGAAAGGACGTGGTGTAACTTCAGGGCTGACCTTGTACCTACATGTACAGATGAGTTAGACCTAAAAAATAGGTACTACCGTGGTAGTTATTTATTCCAAGGAAACTTACGGATTGTTGAGCGCATCCTTATCTAAAATCTTTATGCTTGGTTATGTCTTTGGTTTTTTTTTAAAACAAGCGGTGAATAGTTTTGTTTTTTCTCAGCTTTTCTCCCTGTGAAACAAAAAAGAGGCAAATTTATTCATGTTCTTGTCAGCTCTTCAGAGGATTGGTAGCTTTTAAGAGCAGAACGCTCCAGAATCACTTAAAGACAGCAACAAGGAGTAACATGTTCTTCCTAATTGCTTCCTAATGAGCAGAAAGTGAGGCTGCTTGCAGCCTTAACATTTAGTTACATCACTGCTTTTTCAGAGAAAGTCTTATGTGAAATAGTGTGCTTTCACTTGCTTTACACTGCTCTTGTGTCTTTCCGCTAAGACAAAAGTTGTTTAAATTGGTATTTTTTTATAGGAGTTTCACTTAAAGCTCTGAAAGGTTTGTGCATTTAAGCACTTAGTTGCTCTAAAGAAAGAAAAAAAAAGATTTTGGCTTCAGACAGCAGTTGCACAATTAGGCGTGGCGTTTTTGAAGCATCTTGCTGCCAGTGTTATCTTAGTATGCACAGAGGCCTCACTCTCAGGTGGCACAAGCATGAAATTGGCTTGAGAAATCTATCTGGAGCCTCCCCTGCACATCTTATCTCTGCTTTTTCTTTATTAACAGCGTGTGGGAAATTAATGAAAATCACTGGACCTGTTACAATAAAGACATCTGGAACTCGGTTTGGGGCTTGGATGACTGATCCGCTTGCATCAAGCAGAAACAACCGGGTGAGTGATGACAACACCGAGATGCTTTCCAAGACTTGCACAGTGTTTATTATGTCTGGGTTGTGTTGCTGAATATTACAACAGCTCTTGGTTTTTAGCAGAATAAAAAGGGCATAATAATATTTTGTTGACTGAAAATAAACAAATCAACTTCATAAATGAGTCACGTAACACATGGCGATGACCCTGCTATGCTCTCCTTGAACTCCATGACCTGTTAGAACATGGCTGGATTTGGACAAATTTGGAAAACATCCACCAGTGTGTATGTGTTCATGATTATGCTAGGCTCTTAGCTTGTATGAAATAGGTTTATTCAGTTTCTGCATCCATGAAATCCTGCACACTCACCATTGTATGTATATTTGCAGCTTGTTTCCACAGCGATCCTACATTTTACACTCATGGTTGCACCATTTCCCAAGCCCTGTGCTCACTCAAATCTCCATTATTAGATGGAGTAGAGGTAGGGCAGCTGACTCGGGACCCAGAAAGTCCCAGGTTCAATCTCCAGTCATTGCACATCTCGTGGTGTCTCTGAGCAGCACACCCTATCCCTATCACAACATGTGGCGTGATGGGGCTGTAGCATATGTAAACCATGACTATGAGACCTCAGCTCTCAGTTAGGACACAATATTGTAGCAACCTGATAAATGCTATCATTGATAGAGCTGTGAAGTCATGGTCCGCTTACATGACTTTAGTTTCTATTGCTCAACATGGGACCTCGCTAAACAGGAAGTGCTTTCTTCCTTTTTTTATGCATCACGTATGACATCTGACTTATAGTGTCTTATTTTACAGTATCAACAAATTAAACTTAGAACCCAACCCAATAATAAGCAGAAAAACCAACAGCGCATCTTAACACATAACCTGAAAAAGTCCAGCTATTTCTGTCCCGAAACTACCTAGAAGGCTCACCCAATCTCTTGTGTTCAAGTACAACATGTAATTTCAATAATTCACATAGAAATTTAACAGTAATCCATTCTGTAAATTTTCATCATGTGATGAAGCCGAAATACAACAGAAATATTGAACATTATCTTGTAAATGTTCACTTTTTAGAGCGATTACAATTTCAGTGTGGATTTTTGAATTTACAGTTAGCAGCTAAATGCATAACAAATCTACATAATCCAAAAAAATGCCTTGCAAGGCCTTCATGAAGTCTCAGAGCCCTGTGGTTTGGCCCTGCCCACATTTTTAACCAACATTTTGATTGGTTAAAGTCCGTGTTAGGTATTAAACAAATTCATTCTAAGGACTCTTTTTACGAACTTAGCCTCTCTACTGATAGTGAAGTCCTAACCAATGACCGCTCCTTCAAACCTGTTTCTACCTGGAGATGCAAATTTAAAATAAACTGATTGGATAACTCTATCTTCATGAACTAAAAGCATGTCTTGCTCAAATGCAAAGAAGCTTAAAGACAAATCTAAAAACAAGACAATCTACATGGAAAATATACCATCCATCCATTTTCTTCCGCTTATCCGGGGTCAGGTCGCGGGGGTAGCAGCCTAAGTAGGGAGGCCCAGACTTCCCTCTCCCCAGCCACTTGGTCCAGATCCTCCAGGGTAATCCCAAGGTGTTCCCACTTGAACTCCTCCTTTTGGGGCAGGACCTCCTCCCTGACCTGGAGAGGGCACTCTACCCTTTTCCAGCGCAAGACCATGGCCTCGGATTTGGAGGAACTCAGCTTCATCCCGGCCGTGTCGCACTCGGCTGCGAACCGCTCCAGCGAAAGCTGTAGATCACGACCTGATGAAGCCAACAGGACCACATCATCTGCAAAAAGCAGAGACGCAATCTTATATAAAATAAATGTAAAAATATTAAAAGCAACATTTCATATATGATGAATTCTTGGGCCTTCTCAGAGGGCGTAGAAGGTCTTAAGGGTTCCTCACTGATTTATAGCCTATAGGAATGAACAGATGTGGACCTGCTGCTGAAATCTTGATAGCCCCTGACGGCCTCAGCAAGACCCAGTAAAAGTCATCCACGTTGCAGAATATTTTTTTTAAGGTAAAGCAGGGTCATCTTCCAAGGTTGGCAGGAGACTAACGACTTTTTAAAACTCTGTCTACCTTTTGGTCATTTAACTGTGACAGTGGTTTGTGGCTGATTGTGGCATGATCATCAGACCTGACAATCCATTTCTTCCCTTCTCTGTGGTGCAGATTTGGTATATGGACAGCTACACCAACAGCAAAATTGTACGCGAGTACAAGACGACAGAAGACTTTGTGGCAGGAGTGGTTTCTCGGACCTACAGTCTCCCATTTAAATGGGAGGGAACCAACCATATTGTCTACAATGGATCGCTTTACTACAACAAGTACCAGAGCAACATAATCGTCAAGTACAGCTTTGAGACAGGCACCGTGCATGCCCAGCGAGCGTTGGAGTTTGCCGGCTTCCACAACATGTACCCGTACACGTGGGGCGGATACTCTGACATCGACGTCATGGCCGACGAACTGGGAATGTGGGTCGTGTACGCAACCAACCAAAATGCCGGGAATGTAGTCATCTCTCAGATAGACCCCGACACCCTGCAGGTTCTGAAGACCTGGAACACGGAGTACTCCAAAAGAAATGCAGGAGAGTCGTTCATGATCTGCGGGACGCTTTACATCACTAATTCTCACCTGTCTGGAGCCAAGGTTTACTATGCTTACTCCACTAAGACGTCCACATATGAGTATATAGACATTCCCTTCCACAACCAGTACTTACACATTTCAATGCTTGACTATAACGCCAGGGAAAGAGCGCTGTACGCCTGGAATAATGGACACCAGGTGATCTTTAATGTCACCTTGTTTCATGTCATAAAAACGGAAGACGACTCTTAAACACAATGCTTAAATAGACTTTGGTATCTTTACTTGAATCTTTCTGACTTTTGGCTCTGTGTTTTTGCTGAACTGAGCATGGATGCCAGTGACTTTATTTAAATGTTTTTTTACATTTCCATTGCTGCTGATCAGATTGGTATGCCTTATTTGCAAAGTGTTGTTTCCCAGCCAAAGACCCTCCAAGAAGCTTTTTGCATGGTTCCCATCATGTTGTCTGCTGTAATTTGCTACAATATAGCTGTTATGTTGCAGATTTGCTCTCAACAGTGTTTGCTTTATCTATTTATTAAAGTATATTTAAAAATTGTATTTACAGTTTGAAAGAGACCGACAGCAAATTTGCTACAATGTAAAATTTAAGAATCCGTTTCCGTTTTGTTAAAGATGGCCGTGTAAACTATTGATGTTCTGATGTCACTGTGGAAGAAAAAACATTTGTATTTTTATAAACAAAATCGTGGAAAAGTGTCTGCGCATTATCATTTCTGGTGAACGGAGTACACGACAATAAATTGGCTTTAAATGGTAAAACATTTCCTTTGACCCGATGGATTCAAAACAAGAGTAACACGAGTACCACATACGACATATTATATGCACGCCAACAAACTATTATACAACTATACAGCAATCTATAGCCTCCGCAAAATGACCGCACAGACCAATAAGCCTTTAAACTCCATTGAGCTGTTCATAAGTCACTGATGAAGCCGATCACATCCCGCCCACAAGTGATCTTTCAGAGTATAGCGAGTAGAGCGCAACCGTGCATGCGTGGGTTTTCTCCGGGTACTCCGGTTTCCTCCCACAGACCAAAAACATGCATGTTAGGCTGATTGGTAACTCTAAATTGTCCCTAGGTGTGAGTGAGAAAGTGAGTGGTTGTTTGTCTCTATGTGTCCCTGTGATGGACTTGCGACCCATCCAGGGTGTACCCCGCCCCTCGCACAGTGATTGCTGGACATAGGCACCAGCGACCCCTGTGACCCAAAATGGAATAAGCGGGTAAAAGATAATGGATGGATGAATGCAACGCCATCTACAGGTGGCCTGTAAAACTACATATAATTAAACAGTACAAGCCATATAAACATGAAACAGCAAATAAATTATGGCAGTTACAAAATGTGTATGTGATACTTTGTCCAGTGGTGATGCATATGTATATGAGGTTGTGTTAAATTATCTTGAGTGGATCAAAAGTTATGGGCGGGACAAGAGAAAGTTTACAGACGGAGACTATACCATAGTACATCCACTTTTGATGGTCGTATAATGAGAAGGATCAGAATAGGTTTGGTGAATCAGTGGGAAAAAATGAACTGAGATGGTGTAAAATATGAAAAACATACATTTTAACCTTTTGAAATGGCATTCCAGGAAGTCATGTACAACCATTACCTTACTAGTAGATACAGTAGCTTTTTGAAGATTCCCAGTTTGCAGAAATTTAAGCTTAACTCTGACCAAATTAACAACCTAATGGGTAATTTAGCCTAATGGCTAATTAACCTAATGGCTAATGGATTTCAGATGGACCAAACACACCTACACCACCACTACCCCAAACATAGGAGGATCTGCGGTGGAAGTGGTCTCCAGCTACAAGTACTTGGGTACAACCTCAGCTGATGCAACAACACCACCAGCCTGATCAGAAAAGCTCATCAGAGACTCTACTTCCTCAGGCGGCTGAGGCGAGCTGGTCTGGGAAGCTCAGTCCTCACCTCCTTCTACAGGTGTGCAGTGGAGAGCATCCTGTGCTCCAGCATCAACGTGTGGCATGGAGGCTGCACAGCTGCAGAAAGAAAAGCTTTGCAGAGAGTGGTGAAGGCTGCACAGAAGATGTTGGAGTCAGTCTCCCCAACATCACAGACATGTACACCTCCAGATGCAGGAAGAGGGCCACCTGCATCATGAAGGACCTCACTCACCCAGCACACACACTTTTTGCCCCGCTCCCCTCAGGCAGGAGGTTGAGGAGCATTAAGTGTAGAACCACTAGACTGAGGAACAGCTTCTACCCTGAGGCTGTTAGACTCATGAATCTCCAACCAGGACAATCACTGTGAAAAACAAGAAAAATCACTGTAATGCCACTTTGATTGGTGAAATGTGCTGCTGATCTCATGCTGCTGATTATTTCATGCTGTATTCACTCATACTCATCTACTCACACAGACTCATGTTCGTGCTGCTGTTGTTCGGTGTATTGTTTTGCACTATTAGTGTTTAGTGTATTTCTTAGTTTATATCTTAGATTCTTATCACTGTTTCTTTTTACACTTTATATTTTTGCTATTGTTGTGTAGCTGGGACCCTGTGTGCACAATTTTGTTCCACCTCATGTACCACATGTGATGCGAATGATAATAAAACCAACTTGGACTTGAACTTGAACTAATCTGAGCAGTACCAAAAGCAAAGGGAGCTGCCGCCATCTTTAAAAAGCAACTCCCATTTTATAAACCTTTACACCGTTATTGTTGCATTATTGTTATTTTTTTGCACAGAATTCTGTGGTTTTTCACAGAGAAATTAAAAACTGTCGCTCGCTGTGGTTATATTTCTGCTGAATTCGTTGTGTAATGAGGAAATGATGGCAGTAGTAGCTTTTCTTGTAAGTTTTTTTTTTAAACAGAAAGATTTAGAAATGATGGCAGCCAGGATTTTATTAAAAATGATTTGCAATGAACAGCAAATTCAAACTGGGGCACCTTCATCTTTACTTCTATTTGAGACCAATAAAGTGGTGAAAGTCACAGTATCACACATGCAGTATTCATGAAATACAAACCCCCACAAGCCCCTTTATGAATAATGATCGCAGCCTCACTGACTCAACAGATAACTTCACTCTCTTGAACAGATATGGCACCCAAGTGTCTGAAAATGCAGCATGAAGCCATTTTTTTGTTGTCTCTTTGTAAATGTAAGACATGATTATGTCATCCTGTTTGTGAGAAATATAATAATTTATTCACTGAAATCCAAATTATTTCCTTCCATATAGGTAGATCCATTTCAGAGACGATAAATGGAAAATTGTGCCGATAATTGATCCAATCATGAAGATAAAAGGCCCCATCCTTCAACGCCCCACCTCCAGCCTTCAGTTTTTACTCTAATAGAGGTTTTATGATGGATGGATGTGACGACGGCATCTCAGAAAGTAAAGCCAGGATTGTCACACACTCAGCGTGAGGCTCTCTGAAGGCTTGAAACTCACCCTTTGGCATTTCCATCAGCAGAAAGTGGCGATAAGATGATGGAATGATGTGAAAGGAAATTCCTCCTCCTCAACATTTATATCTTCAGAAAGAAAGAAAAAATATTTAATGCAAAATGTTATTTAAAGCCTTTGATGGTGAGTTTCAGATACGCCTGTGAGTCTGGTTTTCACAGAGGTGGACTAAGAACAGCACGTTTTACTCCAAAACACCATGAACTAACATGTTAGACATGTTATGTTGCATACCAAGGTTTTAAATAAAGATCTTGTGTAATCCATTTGTGCTCAGAATATGTGCTGGAGATCATTTTCAGCTACTGCCACATGAAATTTTAGCTTAATATCTGTACAATTAACTGAATTAGAGCCTTTTTTTTTTTTCTTGGTTTGCCTCTTCATCAATCAACAGCATGGCCTTTTTCTAAAATCTGATAAAATTTCTAAACATTTAAAACATCTGTGGCAAGTCGTGGGGAAAATAAATAACTTGTGGTTGATGCAATAATATAACGGGTTGCTGTGTCTTACAAAAGGTCAAAATAATGTATGGCAAGTCATTTTGTTAACTGAGAATTAGATGCAATAGCTTAAAACTTTGACATATATTACAAGTAAATGAAGATATGTTTTTATAAGAGAAAATGTGTTACATTGTAAAGAATTATCCAACATTGTTGCTTCATTTTTATGTTCACTTCATGCTGGTGCTCTATTATTTATCTATATTATTCATTTACCAATTTAATCAAGGTTTTAAGTGTTTTCAAAGGGGCAAGGGACAAGAAAATATTATTTCTATAGAAGAGCTATTTATACTTATCGTAATTTTCACTGTATAAATCGCCCTTTTTTTTGGCATAAATTAGCATGCCTGCGACTGCGAAGTGACTTATTGATGTTTTTTCCCATATTTATAACACAATTTTTGGCTGAGATCTGACGATTTCATTCATTCTGACCTGGAAAATGTTGAACACTACCATTTTCAACCACTAGAGGGCCCTCTACCTATATGGCAAGCCAAATGTCTAATTAATAAGTAAAAGTGGTTACTAATGAGACATGTGGCTTGCCACAGAGGCCACCTTCGTCTCGCTCTGGAATCATCACAGCCTGTAGTTTTTTAAAATGTAGGATTTATAATATACTTAATGAATTTGGCTTATTCAAAAAATGTTTTTGAGCAATAAACGGGGCAAAAATTGTCCTTTTGTTTTGTTCAGACATAAATTAGTACAAGCACAAGTTTTGATAACTAAAGAAATGTATGACTGTTTTGGTACTTCCTAAACTTTAAAATTAATAAATGTACCCCTAAAGCTAAAATGTTACACAAACGAGCCAATAAACCACCGTCAATACCTAAATAAGACAGCAACTTGCAATTAATTGATTTTATTTTTGTCATGGCCATGGGATTTAGCTTTTAAGAGCCTTTCTTTCAGCCGTCTGTCAGTCATTGATTCCCTATCCAGGGATAAAGGCTACGAGTGCCACTTAGAAACAGAAGCACATGAATCACCATCGAATCCCAACTCGTGCACCAAAAGAAGAAAAAAAGATCCAATCAGCGGGACGTAATCACATCAACATGGCTTCAGCAGAGAACCCGGTTAGCATTGATCTTGCTGTGGGCGGCTGTTTGTCCTCCTGGCTGTGTATTCCGCTCACAATGCTGAAGTCTGAATGTTTGACAACATACGTTCTGGTAGAGATTCATGTCAAATGTCCAAAACAGATTCTTAGAAAAGATCTGCAGTAGCTT